CTATCCCCCCCCCCATTCGAACCCCTTCCACTCTTTCACCTCTTTCAGTCAGGAAACCCTAGATCCGCCGCCCTAAAATCCCACCGTCCTAGCCGGTGGCACAACCCCAATCAGCCCCAAATTAACACCACACCACCCCCGTTCCCTCCTCTTTCCAAACACCCCAACCGTTTTCCCCAAATCTTTATCAAGTTCTTCGAATTTGAGATTGAAGATTGGAGTTCCAAACCCTAACTTACCCAAACTCGCCCAAATTTGCACCCTACAGTCCCTATGTCTCCCTAAACCCAAAATCCTTGGCAATTTCCCCAAATGAACTCTAGAATTTGTTGAATTTGGAATCTAGGATTTGACCTAATCTCGGGGTTGGAATTGTGTTGAAGATTTCTGCTCATCAGGGGCTCGAAGCTCACCTTGACAGAGCATTCTTGATTAAGAGTGTTCACTGGGGTGAGTTTCCAGCTTCGATGAAACATTTCGAGTGGCCAGTCATTCATCTCTGCTTCCTTTGCCAATACTCTCCGATTTCTTTGGTTAGTCTTTCATTTTTCCTTTTCTTTTGTTGTTATTTGTTTATTTCTATTTTCATCTCTTCTTGTTTCTTTCTCTTTCTTTCTTTCTTTCTTTCTTTCTTTTTGGTTAAAATCGATTTCTGCTTGCATGGTAGATTTAAATTAGTTTATAGTAATATTAGCTTAATAATATAACTTATCTTTTTAGTACTTTTGATTTCGTACTTGTTTTTTTTGCTCCATTCTCCTTTTGTTTTTGTTTCGTTAGAATTCTGATATCAGGAGTTTACAACTCCATTGGCCTGTTTTCTTGTGGTTTGTTGGTTTTGGATTAGAATTTGGGCTTCATAGGTCAGAAGCCCAGAAAGGGGAAGGGTTTCAATTCTGGTTGTGTAAACCATTGTTTGGATTTTAATAAGGTAATAACAGCCTTCTAATATTTAGGGGAATTGGATAGGGGGAATCTTTCCTAACTGCTTGGGGAAGGTTCTAGGAAGGTGGGAATTAATTGGGTAGTTTAACAAACAGGTTTAAATCTCAGGATCTGAAATGAAAAGAGGAAAATTGGGGAAGGGGTAAATGGTAAAGTTTTAAATCAATTTTGCTGCCCTAAAGCTGGCTATAAAAGACTCATTCCCTTCATTTTCTGGAAGGATGAGAATACCAAAATAGAAACGGCTGAGATATACACTATGAAAAACACTCAAGTTTTCTGCATTCTTTTGGTTGGAAATTATTTGAAATTGTTCTTTGATTTTCATTGTTGAAAGAGTTTAAAGGTCTCAAGGGATCTCTACTTTGTTTGGGGGTTAAAAATGGTTTGAAAGAGCTGAATATTGCTGGGTTAATGTGTTGATTTACTGCTATTTTCTGAAATCCTCACCTTATTTTGTTTATTTTGACTTCCAAGTATTTCCTTGGCTCTTATGTAACATATGAAGTGCGAGTCTAAAAATGTGCAATCAAGTTGGAAGATTTGAGGATGAATCTCAATTTTTGCTGAATATCAATCTATGTTCTTTAGAGTTTTTTCTTGTCTACGTGTTAATTCCAGTGCTTTCATGTATTTCCATTCAATCATGTTGATATTCTTATATTTCATCTTCAAAGTGTGTTATAGGTTTTAGCTTGTTATGTGATTGAGCTGAAGGTCTTTGTATTCGAACATTTAAAGGGTCCGAATGTTTCTGTAGTGCAGGCTTAAGTCAGTTAGGGAACATTATATTGGTTTGGTTTAAATTTGCTTAAGTTGATGTTTGAATTTCAGTTCTACATTAATGCATGTTATGATTACATGGCTTTAAAATTTGGTCTTAAGTTTGCATCGTTTTGAGGATTTTAGTTCAAGCAGGGGGTTACATGTTTGATAATCATTGCAAAATTAAACTGGTTAGGTACTGATTAGGATATGTGAATAATTAATTGATAGTTTCGAACCCCAGGTGTATGTTGTCAGTAGAATATCTCAGAAAGATGTGCAACATGTTATTGGAATATTGTAGTTTTGGAATATTGCATATTATCTTATCATATGTTGATTAATATCACTAGGGCCTTATTCAATCCTGGCTGGTTTGTTTGTGCCAAGTTTGAGGCAGTGACTTGACCCAAACGAGGTCTCCTAGGCTGTGGCTCTATCCTTGGCAGGCCTAATGATATTAATCATTAGGCTCAATTTCCCCTTGGCAGCCTCAGCTATTCCCCTTCTCCCATTGGGCTCAATTTCAGGCCCAAGCCTCTTCAGTTTTATTACCCCTCAAACAACCATCTTGAGGGGCGATTTGAGCTGGATCAGTTGGTCAGCAATGGGCGACCTTATGCCCAGCCGCGCGCCTAGGCTCGTTTTGAGCCCAATTTTTGATAATTCACTGAGTTTAAGCCCAAACCAATTGACCTTAAAGGTTCCACACCCACCCCAACTCTATTGCCAAAATTGTCATTTACTAAGTTCAAGACATTTGCAATAAGGATATCCTTTGGGCCTAATTAAACAAATTGAGGCGTGCCATATCAAAAAAGACCTATAATTTATGGCCCTCTTAAGATTAGATCAAGAAATCACTTTAAGAGAGAGGTTTGAGGCGTGCCATAAGTAAATTAAAACATCTATGGCCCTCACAAATATTATAATTTAGATATTAAAAATGAACTTCGTAGTTTGCTTTAGGCGCGCTAATTATAATTATCACAGCTATTACTAAAATCCGGGGGTACATTTCCTGTGGCCCGGTTCTAATTTTCAACAAGGTTAAATAGAACGTGTCGTGAATCACGGGTGCATTTCATGTAGCGTGGCTTGCGATGTGTTTTAAATAACCTTGAAATAATTCCTTAAATAAATGGAAGCGATTTTAAAGTTAAAAATGCACATAGGTTTAAAGATGTTTTAAAACCATATAATTAGACCAATAATAATAGTTGAGTGACCGTGCTAGAACCACGGAACCCGGGAATGCCTAACACCTTCTGCGGGTTAACAGAATCCCTTACCCGGATTTCTGTGTTCGCGGACTGTAAAACAGAGTCAAACTTCCTCGATTCGGGATTTTAAACTGGTGACTTGGGATACCATAAATTATCCCAAGTGACGACTCTGAATTTTAAATAAAAATAATCCCGTTTCGATTGTTACTTTAATTGGAAAAACTCCATTATACCCTTCCCGAGGTAGGAAAAAGGAGGTGTGACAAATGTTAGGCGCCATCACGGTACCAACGGTGGGAATTCCGGGTCGTGACAATAACTAATCCAGAGATTAATTGTACCGTGATTTTATCTTAACCAAACGTGTAATTAACTCATTTCAAATTTAATCGTGGGATTAATTATCCCTTTTCCCATACCAAACGAGCTAAAATGTCTAAAATGAATATCGGGTGAATTCTTTTTGTTTAAAAAATGTATTAGATCACATACCAGATACAGAATCCAATTTCCCTTCCTCCTCTGTTTACTTGTTAAATCTATATAAGGTACTCCCTAATTAATTAATACTTTGCACGACTAATATAAATATAGTAATCCAATGAAATGCACTANACCGCGAGGCCCGGCCCGTTAGGCCCACTAAGGCCCGGGCCCGGGACAAAATACAGCCCTAACTATCATTCAGTCAATGTTGGTGGTGTAATAATAATAATTGTCAAATTGAGTCGAAGATGCACAACTACTATATTAGTGGAGCAATAAATGCACCACACACAATTGTTTATTATCTTTAAACCCTTCTGTATTTTGTATGATATTTTAATACCTATAAGTAGAAACATGATCTCCTCCACTAGTTTGATGTCCCTTACTTTACAATGCATTCCCAGATGCAAATCATGTGTACAATATGAATCTTAAAAGGTTTGAATTCACATGGTATTTTATATGGTTCTCTACTTATTTTATTAAAGGCAGTTAGTTGCATAAGGTATTTCGCGTTCACGCAGGTTTCGAAGAAAGGTCGTACCTCAAAGATGTAATGTAAACTGTCTATCCTAATACAAGCATTAATGGTTGTTTTAACGGTTCGAACCTGTGACCTATAGGTACACAGAGACAACTTTATCATTATTTCAAGGCTCACCTATCCTTATTTTACTAATAACCTTTAAGTAAAAATAATATTAGAAAACTAGCATGTGTAATGGAATTGAAACAAATAATATACATGAGTTACATATATATTATATACCGATCGACTATTTTAAATTTAAGTAATTAGATAAGCAATTATTTGGTGAGTTCTTCTAATTATGTATTAATATCATAATTTAACTGGTTGTCTCCGTGTTTTGGGTTCGAGTCGCGGAATCGATTACTAATACTTGAGGTGCAACTCTTCTTGGACGCTTCCTAAATACTAGATATTTTGTACAATATTTTCGAATCTCAGAATATTCTTAATTCAGTCACCTCCTTCCACGTCTACGTACGAAACACCAACCATAAAACCATAAATATCCCAACGCTTTTCCTTTCTTTTCCCTTCGTCTTCCCAATTCCTCCTCCTCCAAAAAAAAAAAAACTCGATTCAGTTTCATTTCTCAAAATCCCAATTCTCTCTCCAGATCAAACAATTCTTCATTCAACGGAATTGTTAATTTTTCCGTAGAATTGTTTCAATTCTGATCAGGAGAGAGAATATTTTTAATTTCGATCTCCATTTTTTTGGTGTTTTTACCCTTTTTGCCCTTCTCGCTTTTGTGTGTGATACGCATGTGTTCTAATTCTAATCACTTCATTACTTTCTTTTTAATCTTTCTTCTCCATTTTTCCCCTCAGATTTTCAATTTTAGGAGTAATAATTGTAGTATCAACAACTCATTAATACTGAGATTCTTATTAAGATAAGATTTTTAACGATAATCTTACTTAATCCCATTATTTTTGTCGGGACGATTTCCAATTAATCGCATTTTTTAGCCATGGATTCTCAAAACAAGAGTAATCGTCAGTTCCAAAGAGGTTTGTTTCTTTAAAGTTTTAATTTTTAATCTATTTTTCACTCTTTTAAATTGAAGTTCGTACTTACTTTTGTCGGTGGAAAGATTTTTTATAAAATGTAAAATGATTTAAAAAAAATCTATTTACAATAGACAACACTTACTCTAAATTCTATATTTATTTCTGCTTGTACTCAAATTCAGTTCGTTTAGTTTTTAACAGTTAAATTTTGTATTATTGAGCTGAATAAGCCCATTGACGGTTGATTTATCAATTATAGTTTATTTAAAACTGTGTATACTGCAGCATCAGAATGTAAACTTTTGGTTTATTTAATAAAAAATCCACTTTTAATGTTTTCAGCTTGCAGGAATATGCTTTTCTAACATTTTCTGACGCCACCTGTTTTTCGTCCTTTATATCAAGAAACAATACTCCCTTTCTTTCAAAAAGAATAAACCTATTTCTTTTTTAGTTAGTTTAAAAAAGAATGCCCCTTCTTGGGAAAGAATTCAATCTTAATGAGATAATTTATAGCCACACAAATATTCATAGATTTTTTTGGATCACAAGTTTCAATTTTTTTTTTTCCTTAGACTCTGCCTATAGTCAAATAGGTTCAAACAAATTGAAACGGAGGGAATACTACTCCCTTTGTCCTAATGTTGTTTGACCGAGTATAAACAAAAATTAATACTTTTGAAATTTGTGATTTAAAAGGAGTCATAGATATTTGTGTGACTATAAATACAAAATGAGAAGCTTAAAGTTAAATTCTTTCATCATTCTTCTCGGACAGACTAAAAAAAATCACATATATTGGGATGGAGGGAGTAATACGTTAGTCTAGAATTTCTATGCTGGAGCAGGTCTGGACAATGTCAGAAAACAACATATTGGTTTTATTTGATAAAAAAATTGTTTTTGAAGTTTTCAACTTGTAAGGAATATGCTTGTAAATGGGTTTCTGTCAATGTGATGCCGCATATTTTTCATCCTCTATATCAAGAATAATACTGACCCCAATTTCTGTGGCGTAGTTGTTGCTTTTACTATATCAAGATTAATAATGCGGTACTAGTAGATTTTCTATCTCTGGACCAGGTTTATAAGCGCAAACCTTTTTACTGCTTAACCGCCATTTAGAAGATGCTTTGTCCTTCCTTGTTTCCCGAATTAGCAGCTATCCTGCTTATCGAAGAGGCAATGTTTGCTAAATTTAGCATAAATGAGTTCCTGATTAAAACTTAGACACGGGACAAGACACCCGATAGTTACAGTCCTTTTATGTTTTGGGATCCGAAGCACGTGAAGCATTAAAAAAAATGCAAGCATTAGACCAGTTCGTATTTTGCTTATACTAATACAAAATTTTGTCACCTTCTGTTTTGGCTGTCTATATGATCATTTCAAACATGAATTTATACATTTCTGTGTCTGATCTTATGGATGCTTATCATTTTTCTCGGTAAAAAACTTTATTAAGTGAGTTGTTATTTTCTCCCTAGCTCCTTGCTTCTCAAATGTTGGACGGAGATATGTGGCCTCGCCATCTGTCATTGTAATAGGTGGTGGGATGGCAGGCCTTACAGCTGCTCGTACTCTTCAGGATGAGTCATTTCAGGTATGCCCTGGAAATATGTAATAGTAGAAATATGACCATTTTATGATTTTTTATTTACTATAATGGTGATGGTGGGAAGGGGAGCCTTGGTGTAACTGGTAAAGTTGCTGCCATGTGACCAGGAGGTCACGGGCTCGAGCCATGGAAACAGGCTCTTGCAAAAATGTAGGGTAAGGCTGCGTACGATAGACCCTTGTGGTCCGGCCCTTCCCTGGACCTCGTGCATAGCGGGAGCTTAGTGGATGTGCATCATGAAGATAATATTCTCTTGCAGGTTGTTGTGTTAGAATCACGAGATAGAATTGGAGGCCGAGTTCACACTGATTACTCTTTTGGTTTTCCTGTTGACTTGGGTGCATCATGGTAGTGAATTGTTGTTTTTTGAAATTATGACTTGTATGTTTATTACACGGTAAACATATGCATTTTGCTTCCGATGGATGTTAAGATTTTAACTGGTGTAGGTTACATGGCGTCTGCAAAGAGAATCCTTTGGCACCTCTTATTGGAAAATTAGGACTGCCTCTCTATCGTACAAGTGGTGACAATTCAGTCCTGTACGACCATGATCTGGAAAGGTTTATACTCTAAGCTCTCCTTGCCTTTCATGCGTGTACTTAATATGCATCAAATCCATGCATAAATACTTACATGATCAAGTTGATATGCTTCTACATGTCATTATGTGCAAGTCTGGAAACACTAGTGATTGCTAATTTTGGGATAGTGACCTTTCTAATCACGTATAATAATCAACTAACATATCTTTCTATTCTCCAGTTATGGGCTTTTTGACATGGATGGAAATCAAGTTTGTCAGGACTTAGTTGCAAAGGTTGGCGAGACATTTGAGAGCATTTTGAAGGAGGCATGTTCTCCCTTTTTTCTACCACTTATATTTCTGAGTCATGATTTATGAAATATCTAATTCTTTCCGAGTTTCGTAAGGAAAGGATCCTTCTTCCATGTCTTTAAAGTATGTATATTGTGGACATTTTCTGACTATGAGCTGACTCGCTTTGTCTGCAGACTGATCAAATTAGGCAAGAATCCAGTGAAGACATGTCTATCAGTCGTGCTATATCAATGGTTTTCGAAAGGAGACCCGATTTAAGGTCCTACTTAATTCTGTTTGTTGACATATTGACCCAACTCCCCGAATCACCCAAAGAGGAAAAAAGAGCATTAAAATTTTTACTAAGTGAAAATTGTTAATACAGGTTGAGTGGCCTTGCTCATAAGGTGTTGCAGTGGTACCTATGCAGAATGGAAGGCTGGTTTGCCGCGGATGCAGATACCATATCACTCAAGTGTTGGGACCAGGTTGGTCTCCTTGCCTCCTTTTGACAGAGTTAACTTGTTGGAGGAATGCTCACCTTCTCATTGACAATTGTCTTTCATAGGCATTTGAACTGGTTATAGGAACTTGCTGATGTTAGAAATGGTCTTACCGTAGTGTACACCTGAAAAGATAGCTTGTTCAGATTCTATAATTCCTGTTACCGTATGGTGTCTGTGTCAGCTGTCTAGTGTAGGTAATAAGTAAGATATCTGGGGATGAGGAAAAGAAGTTACTTTTTGACAATATAGAGTACAATTGATAGTAGTGAGCAGAATGCTTGGCTGAGGGATTGGAGTTGTCAATATAGTTATTTAATGTTTCATGAAGAAGATAGCAGTATATGCTTGACCAAGCGATTAAATAGCTTCAGTCCAGGAAAAATGCCTCAGGCATGATCTGCAATTCCACGTCCTCAGCTGACAACTAGCTCCGGTGACTTATGTCCACAATTTCATGCCTAAAGTTACTTTTATCTTTGTTAAAAGCTTTACACCCCAGATTCTCCTTCAATCGCACAAGCTCTTCATGTCAGGATGTCCAGAATGTCTGGGTCATGTCTAAAAGATAATAATATTATATGCCATTCTCACTTCTTAAAGGATTCAAGTTAATTTAAATTATGGTATGATGACTCCCTATAACACTAACTGATCAACTACTGAAGTTTTTCTTCTATTGTTACAAATACAGTAAGTCATTAAGCTCTATGCTTAGTCAAATTATATCATATGAAATAGGAGAAAAGAAATTGATTGTTTATTCAACATTTGAATTCTACACGTAGCTGGTCTTGTCGGTAGCTGAGGATATAGGTGACATTGACCATTGTAGCTTTTTAACTTCCTACTAGGATCATGAGTACCATGGAGGAGTAGTGTTATGTGTCATGAGCTGAATTAAACTTTCTTAAACATCCATCCTTTGTTTTCTTTTTCTGGTTTTTAGCATCCAGTCTTCCTCATTTTAATTTTGAATAACTTCTTTGTAAGATCAGTCCACTGGTATATTGCTGCATTTTTTTATATGAAGCAATTTGACATGAAAAGATAATATTTAAGTCTTGTAACTTATTACTAGAAAATGCAAAACCTCAGTATTAGAACGTGGCACCTCTAATAAATGTGAAGGGATCATCACATCAGCTCAGGAAAGCTTAGATCTCCTTATAGCTGTGTCAGAAGAATCACTACATAAGATGTCTGAAGCTCTGAAATGTCTCTTCTATAAAGAATATGTATTTTAATTATATGCTCCCCTATTGGTCATTTGACAAGAAAAACATCAAACAGCAAGAGTGTAGTTTGTAGTCCTTGAAAAAGTTGTTTAAAGTGTTGCCTTACAGATTCATGATTTTTATATACAGGAAGAATTGCTTCCTGGTGGGCATGGTCTTATGGTCCGGGGATATAAGCCTGTCATCAATACACTAGCAAAAGGGCTTGACATTCGGTTAGGTCACAGGTAAAGAACATCTCCCTGACATCCCACCCCTCACCCCCTGCTGGAAACAAAGGACACTAGCAGTTCCTATGACTCATTTGTTCTTGGAATCATTCCTCAGGGTTACAGAAGTTGTTAGACGTTATAATGGTGTGAAGGTAACAGTTGAGGATGGGAGTTCTTTTGTAGCCGATGCTGCCATTATTGCTGTTCCACTTGGTGTTCTAAAATCAAATTGCATCAAGTTTGAACCAAGATTACCTGAATGGAAGGAGGCCGCCATTAAAGAACTTGGTGTAGGAATTGAGAACAAGATTATTTTGCACTTTCAAGACGTGTTCTGGCCAAATGTTGAGTTCTTGGGAGTAGTTGCAGAAAGCTCATATGAGTGCAGTTACTTTCTTAATCTTCACAAGGCTACTGGCCATCCTGTCCTTGTTTATATGCCTGCTGGACAACTGGCCCGTGATATCGGGGAACTATCAGATGAGGCTGCTGCTAATTTCGCATTTAAGCAACTTAAGAGAATCCTTCCTAATGCGACTGCTCCAGTAATGTTACACTTTCTTTTTTGCTCCTATGCATATTTTTTGGGTTTTACATTTTTCGCGTTGCTCTGAAAATTCCCTTCTCTATTTTGTTTTCTCAGCATCGTTATGTGAATTAACTCTTTATCATACAATGTTGGTTTACCGCTAACTCAAGATGTTAGTGGCTGACAAGTTTTAGTAACGGAAATCTTCCTCTAGTTTATTTGTTCTCTGGATGTTCAAGAAGCATGATTAAATGTCTGAAGCATCATGATCTTTCTTTAACCCATTAGTAGTTTTTTTGGTCGAACATGATGCTTCTGAATCAAATAGTACAAAGTTCTAGAAATTTTGTCTTAAACCAATATGTAAAGACTAAAGATCTGTACGAATTGTCTTACCCATGTTTGTGACTTGCGCTGACTTTAATGTGCTTGTGGGTTCTTTCAAGAAAAGCATTTGACTGGTTTAAGATATCATACAAAGGACTGTTGAAGCAATTTATTCTGAGTAGTCCTTTCCCGTTACATCGTTGTAATTACTATGTTTTTATGAAAGTTATATTATCCTAATAATCACAGTATCTCACTCTATTTATTCTCCTGGTCTTGGTGCAGATTCAGTATCTTGTTTCTCATTGGGGTACAGACACAAACTCACTGGGATCATATAGCTATGATACAGTTGGGAAGCCCCATGATCTATATGAAAGGCTGAGAGTACCAGTGGATAACCTATTCTTTGCTGGGGAGGCAACGAGTTCAGATTACCCAGGTTCTGTACATGGTGCATATTCAACTGGATTGCTGGCTGCTGAGGATTGCAGGATGCGTGTCCTGGAGCGACATGGAGAGTTGGATATTTTCGAGCCCGTCATGGGTGAGGAAACACTTATTCCCATTTTGATTTCCAGATTGTAACTCGTAGGTTCCGATATACAGAAACAGAAACACTATGAATTAGTTGCCATATGGGATTGAGTTGACACAATGTGGCTGGCTGCTTAACGATAAATTATTGAAATCACACGGTTTTTAAATGAAATTTCAGCATCAGATAACATGAGTAGTCTCTCCCCGGTGAACTAGGTAATAGAGGACATTTTTGTAATATGGTGCTATAGCTGTGAATTGCAGCTTGTAGTGACACTGAGTTTATACCTCTGAATTTTTGTGGTTAAGAAGATTATTTTATGAATACTTTATTTTTGCATAATGAGGTGCATTCATTTCCCAGGTTTCTTTTCATTTTGGCAGATGCAACACTAAACATTTCGTTTTTTCATCTCTCATCACATATATAGTAAGATTCATTTATCTTTTGGTAAACTTCAACTACCAAATGCTAAAACTACTTGATAACAAATACTTGCTGGGGCTTGAAGAATTTGTGACAAGTTTTCAAGGAAAATTTATGCATTTTGATGTGAAAGCAAACACTCATTGTCAAAATGTTCGTTCATCGTCATGGAAAAATAGTTATGAATTTGTAAACAGAAACTCTCTTCAAGGGCTGTCTGCAAGATCTTCACTTTCTCTATTTCCAGCTTCCTTTAAGCGCGCAGCAGCGGTTGCAACCTACATTTCAGTTGAGAATTTGTAGCGAGTAACATGTATAGTTGAGACTGCATTCTGGATTTATAGTCAGTGAGTTCATAGTCAAACGTGAACACATACACACACCCAAGCATAAAAGTTTTTGCATATGTAACTTATGAGTCAAGCTGAAAGCAATGGGTTCAGTTGAATTCACAGAATCATTAGCTAATGCCAATGTCGAGGCGAGTTTGAAGTAATGAAAATGGAGCAGCAAAGTTACCTCAGTATTCCAGTTTGTTCTGGCAGTTAAAATAGATAATGTGCATGTTTGTAGGACAACTCCTGCAATCATACCCCACCATATTCCCTGAAAGAAAAACCATAGTGATTTTGTATGTGTGAGGCAAAAGGCCAGAAAAGGAGGAGAAACATAATTTCTGAATATCCAATTTTGTTAAGAAGAAGAAAAAAAAATGAAAAAAAAAACTCACTGCTTCCTGTAAACTTGTTTTGAAGCCAAGAATACATCCAATTGGGAGGCCAATAAAATAGTAAGTAGCTAGATTGACATATGCTACCACTGCTTGCCATCCACTACCAACAGCCACACCTAAAGATTTGCAAGAAATTATGACAATCCACTGCTTGTAATCAGATTCAAGTAAACTTAGAATTTAATAAAGGATTTAAGTCATATACACCGACTGTAAATAGTTTTCACACTACCACGATAGCTTAACCTGTTATAGCAAGTAACTTAATATTCCTTTTGGTTACCGATCAATATAATTATAAATTATGTTGCTCGTATCCTCTAAAAATTATTGCAGCAGCTGTGAAGGATCCTCCAAAAGCTGCACTATTTTTTTAGGATCAGACACAGGTGCGGCGGAACAAAGACTATAAAGGTACCATTTCAAATGACATGATTCCATAAATATTTTTACACCATCAGTGCATATAACTTATAGTAACCTTTACTAAATTGGTTCTTTAAAGAGCAAGAATTGCTAGAGCTTCTTTACCAGAGAGAATAGGTTGAATGCCATTCAACCAAACAGAAATGGCAAGTAATGGAGTCAAATTAGAGACAGCCTCAATGACTTGAGTGTCACTTGTAAAGAGTTTGCTTAATCCAATCCTGAATATCAGCACAACAATGCAGAGAACTGTGCTGATCAGGATACTTGTCAAGCTCACTATGATCACTGAAAACTTGGCAACTCTTGGATGTCCTGCTCCAAGCTCATTACTAACTCGAACGCTGCAAGTATGAGTATTAACCACTATTGAAATAATGATGTTCTTTAGCTGCCAAATGAACCGATTCTTTAGGCGTATACTGTAACATACCTGGCTGCAGCGCCTAGTCCTAACGCGACTTGCATATCCCAGTTCCAGTAATTCATGCTGTTATTGTCACAAGAAGTTGTGAGCCTGAACAAGTAATTTGAGAAATAGAACAAGAGAAAGGAAGTTTTTCTATCTTTTACCAGATAGAGATGGAGTCTAATGAGATTGTAGAATTTGGAAGGAGGCCTGACACAAGCACTAGGCCTTGAGAGTACCATATCTCCAAGCTACATTCAGAAATGAATTAAAAATTATTACTACTTGACCATAAATTTTACAAAAGCCAGTTAGTGGCTGCTGAGCATTGGATTTCAGTTAGCCGGGCCAGGTTGCTACGGCCTATGTTGCTCGGACTCTCCGAAAAATTCATCGGGTGCATGTCGGATCCTCCAAAAGTAGTGTATTTTTGGAAGATCCGACACGGGTGCGGCATCATTTTCGAGAGTCCGTGCAACATAAGCTACGGGTCGCTAAGTGGTCCCTGGCCGAGCCCAATTCGCGGGTCACATATGTGAAACAGTCCCAGGCCGCTTCCTTAAAGAACCAGGTCGGTTAATGCATGAGGCGGGCCGGGCCAGTTAAGGGGGTCGACTTAACTGGGCCGGGTTTTGGGTCGGCCCAGGCCACTTGACAGGTCTAGTATTTGAGAGGGAAAGGGGTTCTGGAATATCTGAACTAACCATAACATGACAGCTGAGGCAACAGTTAGCTTGAAGTAAGGCCAAATGCTTTTGAAAGCATCAATAGAGAGACCAGTCCAAGTTTCCTTGCATAAAGGACTAAAAATTATATAAAGATATTGCGCAACGACTAAGAACCACCACGAGAAGCTCTGTGCGAGAGAAGCTCCGAGAAGCTCATATTCCAAGACATCAACCACTAGCCAAGTAACCAGAACATGCACAACAAACACGGCGACAGCTATATAAGCCATAGGATTGACAATGTTCTGTGCCTGCAGAAACCTCTGCATTGGGCAGCTTATAGCAAATGCATAAAGCTGAAGGATCAATCCACGGGCGAATAATTCGCCTTGTTCAGAAATAGTGTCTGATTGCCCTATTGCTTTAAGAAGTGGCCCGGAGAACCAATATGGAAATGAGAGGAGAAATGCTGCTCCAAGGTGTAATATAATTGCTCTCTGGCATATTACTCCCATAACTGCATATCTTTTTGCTCCATATGCTTGCCCACAAACTGTCTCAACAGCACTTGCCATACCTAGCTGTTATCAAGGAGAAACATTAATTTTAGGAAATACAAACAACAGAAAGTAAGAAGAAAGACTTTGACTCATGAAATAATCACTATCCTTAAAGAATAGTATTGCATGGTGGAGGCGGACCCAGGATTTGAAGGTTGACGGTGACTTGTAGGATTCAACCAAAATCTGTATAAGGTGCCCACTACTAATATATCACAATTTTTCTAAAGACATATACATGCATATATGAAATTTTTGCCCAACTTTACGGGTGCCAGTGACCCCTCTTGGTATAGCATAGGTCCGTCATGCATATTATTTTGGTGGATACAACACAAGTTTCTTCAGGATACAACAATGCCAAACTAATCAACTTAGCCACTGTTCATAAAAATCAGAATTTATAGAAGTGAAACCAAGTCTATTTTTATCAGACATATTATTTCATGAGCAGACATACTTGTCAATCCCCCCGTCATATATTACAAACCATCTAATGAAACAAACTCTATTAAATGATGAAATGGTAAAACCTAGCAAAGTTTGCGAAGTCAAAAGTTATACGACAGAGGTGAATCCAGGATTTGAAAGCAGCAGGTGTATCATTTACTAGCATTATTTACATACCACTCAATAATCTTTGTAACTTTATATATACATATAAATGTATTGACTTTGACGCGTAATGGGTGCACGTGCATGCATTGTGTCGCGCTAATGCTATATCAGCATGACGTGTAGTGGGTGCACGTGCATGCACTGTGTCGCGCTTATGCTATCTCAGCAGTTACTGATCAACTAAAACAAAAGCATACATATAAAAAAGAACAAAAAATACCATGACACCATAAGCAAAGCCTTGAATTCCCACACTAACAATGGAAGCAGCAGCTAATTCCAATGAACCAAAATGTCCAACAAACATGAGTGTGACAAAACCAAGCATGTAGTTAAAAATCAAGACTATAATAACAGCCCCTGATAAAAGCCAAAGTAGTCTTGATTCCCATGCAAACAACTTGAAATACCCTTTAAAAGACACATTCTTGTGTTCCAAGAACTCTTCGATTTCGTCCGACGACATGTCTGATAACTTAGTTGTCATGTCAAGTATACTAGGTAGCAATGGCTGGTCCTCCATTAGTCCTGTTTCTCCCTGTCTTTGTCTCTTAACAATGTACCCTTTATATGCATTTAAAGGAACAGNACATGTCTGATAACTTAGTGTTCATGTCAAGTATACTAGGTAGCAATGGCTGGTCCTCCATTAGTCCTGTTTCTCCCTGTCTTTGTCTCTTAACAATGCACCCTTTATATGCATTTAAAGGAACAGAATTTGAGTAGATGTAAATATTTTTGTACAAAATTCACTAAGGTGAACAGGTGCAACTACCAGTCCTGTTTGAGACTAAGGTATAGACTAGTATTTGACCTTTTCTTTTTTCTGTTTTCTTGATTTATTATTTTTACCATGAAAAAGGGTAGCTGGTAAAACCAGAGGAATAGTTGTTAAGTATTTTTTATAGTACAGTAGGAAGCTTAGGTATGGATCCTCTTGACTGTCCGAGTGGTGAAAAATGTTAGGTAGCCATGAAATTGCTTTGGAAGTTCCACGTTCTGTCTCTCTTGAATGTAATATGTCTCCTTATTCAAAACTAGCTAGTTTGTAGTAGGACTTGAGCCATTAAAGTTAGAATTTTGTCATATTATAAGTTAATATGTTCCTACTTACTGGTTAGTAATAAGCTTTAAATATTATTATTTTTCTTATTATATATATAACACAAATTTTTACTACTACTCTTATTTAATTTTGACATGATGATGATATTAGTTGAACTTAAAAAAATAAGTGAGGATTCATATCGCCGATCCCAATTATATTTGGAATTAAGGCATAGTAATTGTTGTTGTATTAGTTATTATGTTCAAGGGCACCATTTGACTAGCAAAGACTTAGAATTAGTTTTGACATTCAAATTATGTTTTATACTTTTAATAGTTACACCTGCTTAAGCGACTTGACTTGTAACAATAGGTAACTGCTTATAGCAAAGATCATCTAGGACATGAAAAATATAATAGATAACCTATTATCACAAGCAATGTTTTAACAGGCGGGGTGAGGCGAGACGTTTTATTTGACATGATGCGAGGGCTAAGCCTCAAGATATGGGGCATAAGTTTCACAGATCTTTGAAGTTTTTAATTTATAAATTAATAATATAGCATTATAATACAAAAATATATAAAAATACTTTAAAAAGTTCAAGAAAAGTAAAAAGAATTAAAAACTATTAGAAAATACAATATCTAACATGTTTTACAAGTATAAATAATGCAACAATATTAAAGTTACTATGAAATATAATTCAACTATAACGTCTTAACTTTCAAACAATTAAAAATCATAATTTCTTAAAAAGTATTATCAAACTGCATATTGTACCTCCCTAAAAGTAAGTTCAATATAAATTTTATCAATATTGTACAACAACAACGACCCAATATAATCCCACAAGTGGGGTCTGCGGAGGGTAATATGTACGCAGACCTTACCTCATGAGTAAATAAAAAATTACTTTTAAATAGCAAAATAATAAATGTATTATAATTTTGATAGACATTGAACTAAGACAAGTACAAATATAAATTTTGGTAATCTATTTTCAGAAAAATGTTCAAATTATTCACTCTAACGATGTTCCCAATTAGTAAATATGTAATACTATGGTTCGTTATTTGAGTTATTCAGAATTTTCATATTCCTTTAGATGAAAAAAACTTTAATCATTCATTTGTTAAAGAATTTTAAGAGTCAACTGTATTAATTAGTGAATTCGACATATGATTTGCATAAGAACTATTGGGCGAGCCCCGAGCATTGAGAGCTAGGCGTGTTTAGGACGTACTGTTGGACGCTTGAAGGTGTAATTAAGCCTCATAGAACTAAGCCCCACATATGAGCCTCAAGGCGTTTTGATAGTGTCCCATCCCGGAACGAGCCTCGAGGCAAGTCCCAAAAAAGTCTTTTAAACCACTTATCACAAGTTATCGTAGGTTAAAGGCAATACGATCTCATAGCCACTTAAACTTGTACCGATTTGTCATCCCGATATATGAACTTAGGAGTGTCCCATTTTAACACCTTCAGTCAATAAAGTGAGTTCTTGGAGGTTGTGAGTTCCAAGAGGGGTTGCTCTGATGGTAAACAACCCCCACTTCCAACTGAGAGGTTATGAGTTCGAGTCTCCCCAAGAGCAAGGTGGGAAGTTCTTGGAGGGAAGGATGTCGGAGGTCTATTTGGAAACAGTCTCTCTACCCTAGGGTAGGGGTAAGGTCTGCGTACACACCACTCTCCCCAGACCCCACTAAGTGGGATTATACTGGGTTATTGTTGTTGTAGTCAATAAAGTGAGTACTAATAAACACTCTATTGATGCGCGTTGCTCAATTGCACTGATGTGTCATTCACATCAGCGTCCGCATCACATAAATGTCATTTATTCTTAATTTGTATTTAGAAGAACTCCAAGATCACCCCTTCCCCCCTGGCTTCCGTCACCCCATCTTCGTCCCCTCTAATATTCCGATTCCTTTCTCTTTCACCACCATAAATTGCGCTAGGAAAAATTGATAGACTCACCATAACACATCCACAACCATTTTTCTTTTGCCTAAACAATATCTAGATTCTCTTTCAAAACATTAATAGTCTCATAAAAGCTATGGGAATGATTTGCCAAATCAAATAAAAAAGGGATATCACCATGGCTATAAATCGAAAATTTGAAATAGCAGCCAGAAGAAAAAACACCATTAATAAGTAGAGGGTGTGGCTACAGGTAACCATTATTTATGGTGTTAGGCACGCATTTTTGCCACGTCAGGTATGTCGTTGCCATATAAGCTTGGTCAAGGGTCAGAGGGGTTATTAGTATTCATTTAACAGAGTTGAGGTATTAAAATATGACACTTCTAATTTCATATACTGGGATGGTAAACCAGTGCAAGTTTAAGTGGCTACAGTATAAGGTAAAATATGTTTATATTAAATGCTTGCATAATGATGCGACACGTGGAGCCGGAGGCAGATGGAAAGCGAGGCAAATGGAAATCAGGTCCGAAGGCAGCAATCCCATTTGTTCCCGAAGGGAATGATGTTCATAAAGACAAAATAAATGCCTGTCACCCGGTAGTATTTTATGGAGAATATTCGATAGCATTAAGTACGTAGTCCGTCACAGAGAATATGGCATTCATTGCCTAGCCTTACACATTCTTAATGGCCCCCATAATTGTCATTTAAGAGGGACTTGATCCTAGTACCTTGTTCCTTAGGAACAACTATAAATAGTGAGTCCAACAACCATTGTAAGGGGAAGAATTTTCTGATAAGCTTATGCTATATACTGTTCAAAGCTCAATAATATTTTATCTTCTTGCTTATTAATATTGTTACTACTGCCTTCGGAAGCTCTGCTCCCGAAACCAAGATTTCTGCTGTCTTATCTCGATTTCAACGCTAAGTCTTACATTCTTGTTTAATTTATTTATCATTTTGGGATCAAGTCGATTCACTTGTCTATAAACCATGTAAAAATTCAACTATACTGTTTTAATGGTAGATAGTTTGGCACCCACCGTGGGGCTTAGATAGTTGTGTAATTGAATTGATCCTTGCATCTATTACTAACCTGTTTGATTCTTTGTTCTTAGCAAAAATCATAGAAAATGGCAGATAACGATGTCAATATCGCACACAACATTGAGGCCTAAGGAAATCAGCCTCAGCATGAAGATTCGATCAGTGCTACCCGCAAAAAGGGGGACGAGGCCAATGGGTCCATGATGGGCGATATCCACGACATGTTCGAGAGGAAACTCCTAATGATGTTGAATAGGAGCACGTCGTTGAAACAGTAAGGATCCTAAGGGAGCAACAAAAAGCCATTATAGGCCATCTCTCATGACATGATCAGATAATAACGGAGTTTATGCAGGCATTGTCAGGTGCTTCCAACAACACGAATGGATGAGGTCCAGTTCCTCCCATTGCTCCCACAAACCAAACAACGCAGAGGGTCGACAACAACACCTCGAGGGGCGAAGTCGGCTTCGAAAGGGGCCTGGGGGATCGGTAGCAGATTCGATAACAATAATGAGAATGATCCCTTTAAAACTGAACTCATGCGTTTTATGAGGGAAATAAATGCCCGAATGGATCAAATTCCGAGCGTATCAACAATGTTGAAAAGACCAGACTCAAAGAAATACACCTAGTCATCGTTCAAACCAAAAGCGGTGCCAGAATTGATCTCAAAGCAGTTTAAAATGCCAGACGTGCCAAAGTATGATGGGATTTTGGATCCTCAGGAGCACATCTCCACCTATACAACGGCGGTGAAGGGGAACGATTTATCTACACACGAGATTGAGTCAGTCTTACTGAAGAAATTCGGGGAGACCCTCACAAAGAGGGCCCTGACATGATATTCTCTCTTTCCCAAGCACTCAATAGATTCCTTCAAGATGTTTGCGGATTCTTTTATCAAGGCCCATGTCGGGGCAAAAAAAGTACAGGCCTGAAAGGCCGACATATTCAGGATTGCATAAGGAGAGTTGAAATTGCTACGGGAGTTCGTGACCAGATTCCATAAAAAAAGGATATTGCTACTGGCCGTACCGGATGAATGGGCAACTGAAGCATTTACTAAAGGGCTAAATCCGAGAAGTTCCGATGCTTCCCGAAAACTGAAAGAAAGTCTGTTCGAGTTTCAGGCAACAACATAGGCGAATGTTCATAAAACGGTACGAGTCAAAAATAAGAATTGAGGATGATCAGCTCAGTTTCCCGGCATCAACCAAGGGTCAGGATCGGGAGAAGAACTAGGAGAAATCAAAGGATGATTTCGACACAAGTGGACAGTCTTCAAGAGGTCGATTTTTACCTTATAAAAGGGTCGAAGGACGTGGTAGAAGTTTCCGATCGATGGATAGGTTCGCTACCGATAGAAGAGCTAATCGCGGCCAAAAAAATATATTATTGTAGGATAAGGATATATCGGGTTCCCGAGATTCCTCTTACCCCATGATATCCGAATATAACTTCAACGTCAGCGTAGTGGAGCTAGTATCGGCTATGAGGTACATTAAGGAAGTACG